CACATCTCGATTGTTCCTTAACAGACCCCCCCACTCTGGTTCTAAATTGATCCGGTGCCAACATATCCTCATCTAAGATTCCTTTTGTTTGCTCTACTAGCTTCCTTCGTTCCTCCTCGAATCTCACCTGATTCAGAGTTCGTAGGGGAAGTGCTCTTCCTATCTTCTCCCCTCTCCTAACCTTGATAGTCTTTTTGGGTCTGGTTCACCATCATAATGGGCACTAACTCGGCTGCCTCCACTACCGTTTCGCACAGGGTTACCTCGTTATCTTCTAGGCCCTTTCCTTCTACAGGGACCAACTGCAGAGGTCCCTCCGTACTTTTTTTTTTTCTGACATTAGCCTACCCTTTCCTGACACTGCGGTCCTAGGAGGTAACTTTACATCTTCCTCCACCACTATGGTTATCTCTTCCTCTGGTGGCATCCCAATGGCGTTCTCTCGCCGTTCACCACCAACACAGTAGGATTAAACTCAATCTGGGCCCTTCATTCCGGAGCCAATCTTCTCCCAAGATTGCCTCTGTACACAGGTCGGGGGTTACATAAAATTTTGGGTGCTTTTCACCCTCCCAATCCTCACCGGGAGCCTCACCATCCCCCTTTTATCTCCAGGGGGCCCTGTCTGTTTGCGTGATCTCTATGTCCGCTTCCCGTAACCTTCTCTTCCGTTTCACCTGCCTGTATATCTCCTCTCTCATCAATGACACAGATGCTCCTGTGTCCACTAAAGCCCTCATCTCTCTACCACCTATCTCTGTTTTTACAGGATAGTTCTCTCTTGCGTTAGCGAAGAGAACACCTGAGCTTTCTTCTTCCTGGGTCCCCACCTTTGGGTTAACCCAGCCATAGGCGCCGGTAGTAATAAATCATCTTCATTTTTTTTATGAGGTGGAGTTCTGCGCCCCCTGCACCTGGGTGACCCTGGCCGGACCTCTCTCGGTCTCTCGTGGCCGTTTCTAAGAATACAGTTTCTTCTCAGGTGTCCTGGCCTCCTGCAAAGCCAGCACCTTCTTGTCGGACAGCTTGCCGCAAAGTGGCCCATCCGACCACATGTCCAACATCTTGCTCTTTCCCTTTTTAACTGGGTTGGCCTTTGTGTCTATCCTCGGGGAACCTGTCCTCTATTCAAGCGGTTCGCCCGTTCACTGGTCCAAGCTTTTTATTTCTCTCTTTTTAACTGGGCCACCCTCCCTCTTAATTCTGGGGTGGCCTGCTGGCTTTTTTTCTTGGCTCGGCCTTCTTTGTTAATATTGGTGGGGCACCCTTCCTCAGCCTGCACCACTTGGCCAGGTGTCCTTTCTTACCACACCTGGTGCACCTGTCACGATCGAAGTCTGGGGCAACCCCCACTTCGTCGGACATTCCGCCGCCCTGTGGTCCTTGTACCCACAGGTCCAGCAGACCAGCCTGTATCGACCCGGCGTGGGCTTATAAAGCCATGCCTGGTCGACCATGCCCTTCTATTGGGGTCCTCCTCCCATATTTCTGCCCGATCCACCTCTTCCTTAACCCTCTGATTCCATACGGGGGGTTCTTCCGCCTACCCCCCCTTCTTCCAGCCTCCTGACTTGGTGTCTGCTTCTTCCCACACCTCTTCACCTTATCCCACACCCCATGGCTCTCCCTGGCCAGCTCTATCGCTGCCGACAGTCTGAGCGGTCCCTCTTTCAGGACGTCGTGCCGAACACGCTCATCGCTCAGAGCTTCCACATACAGGTCCGCCAGTTGGGCCTGCATGACTGCGTTGTCCCTGACCACCTCGGGGAATGCCAACGACGATAGCTTCCCTGCTCGGGCCCCTAATTCTCCTGGGGTTTCATCCCGCAGCTGTGTCAGTTTTAAAAGGGCCCTCATGGCCTCTATGGCCGTACCTTCGTCGGCGAATTCTTTGGTCAGTTGTCTTTTTATTTCTTCCCAGGCCAAGCGGGGATGATTTTCCAAGAGTCCCTTACGAACTCAGACGCTTTTCCCTTTGTGGCATCGTATGTCAAATACAGGGTTTCTTGGTCCGAGAGCTCGTAGATGGTTCGGCTCTTTCGAGGATTGTCAGCCAGTTTTTGAACTCCTTCCCACTACCATCAAACACTGGGACCCTCGGTCCACCCAACAGCCCCTTAAATCCACTGACAACCCCCGCCCTACTTCTTCTTCACCCCCCACTGCTCTATCCGAATCATAATCTGACATGTCTACAGAGAAAGAGTCAACAGCAACAATCGAGGTTGGGAAACAAAACAAGGTGTCCTACTTTACAGACGATTCTGTTCTTTTTTTTCCTTTGGTCCCGGGTCGTTCTGATTTCTGCTTGAATTTTCAGCAACGGCGGTCGATCGTGGTCTTCTCAGGGTTGAAATCCCTCGGTCACCACGGCACCATATGTGACGTGGTTGTCTCAGGGTTGATCCGTTGGTCACGGCACCACTTGTGACGGTTGTCTCAGGGTTGGTCCCGGTCACGGCACCACTTGTGACGGTTACACACCTGGCCCAGTGTCGGATCCTTTGGTTACGGCGCCAACGGTGACGTCGCTCCTCCTGGTCGCTCCTCCTGGGTCCAAGCGTGCCGCTCCAACCCTTTGGTCAGATGATCACCAGCCTCGCCTTTCCCGACTCGCTTCCAATACCTGGTCACTAAAGCAACTATACCGATCTCCGGTCTGTCTACCCACGCTGTGTTTAGATCTTAGACAGACGGGACCAGCAGGGATCGGGGCCGATACAAGTTGAGTCCGACGGGGTGGCAAAACACAAATAAAAAATAAAACTCACGACACCAAACAAAATTGTTGAAAAAAAGGGTAACAACCTTTTATATCTTAAAGTCCGTTACATAAAAACAAAATTGTTCTCAATTCCCGACCCGCTCTGTGGACTATGGCACCAAGCTTCTATCACACAATAGAAAATGTCGAATTACCTACTTTCTAGAATCATGTATGTATGTCGGAGTGTGGTTCAGTTCGACACTGGGGCTAATTTCTATCGATCATTCGCAGTTGATTCTTCTCTCCGACTTGAGTTGTATTTCTTCTTCTTCTACTTGGGCTGGAAGTTCTTCTTGTCTGAGGGTTCTTTTTCGCTGCCGTCCGGGGATGAACTTTAACTTCATCGACTTTCGGTTTGTCTTGCAGCTCCACCTTCTCAGGCTTTCAGGCAATCTTCTTCTTCGTCTACTTGGGCTGGAAGTTCTTCTTGTCTGAGGGTTCTTTTCGCTGCCGTCCGGGGATGAACTTTAACTGCAACTCCACTCCAACTGATTTCTGCCGACTGGGGTCCTGCTTATATTGACGCCGCAACAAACCGGGTGGGTCGGTCGGCGTCAGGGGTTTCTCGATATTTCAAAAGCCGTATTAATTTTGACTTTCCATTATCGTTATTGTTTTCACCCCCCTACTTTCTCACAGTGCTCTGGGTGGGCGGCGCATATCTATTTCTCTTAGTCTCTCTCTCATGTCAGGTGATCGCTCTCAACCAATCGTTCCCTGATCGAACCTCTCTTTTCTTCTTTTCCGCAGCCCACGTGACCGCCTCGTCCAACAGTTATTGATCGAGGTTTTCTTTCCTTCTTCTTCCGCGGTCACGTGATTGTATTCGACCAATTGTTATTGACCGAACACCTCTCCCTTTTGTTGTTGGGTGTGGTTACATCGTGCTGGTTTTAAAAAAACAAAATCCGATTTCGCACCTTTTTGCACGTACGCAAAATGACAATCCTGCCTCTCTCACCTGGACTTTGTCAAACAGCCCTCTGCTAATTAGTCTTGACTTTAGAAAAGGTTCTTTTCCGCCTTCTTGGCGCCTCTGTGGTCCAAAACAACAATTTCTTTTTTTTCTTTGTTTTACCTGATAGTCGAAAATCTTAATTATCTAGGTCGAAATATCTCTACTTTCTTAACGTGGGTGTCCAATTCTTAACAGGTCAATTCCGTATATCGTTTTCACCAGTCACTTCCCCAACCCAAAGACACTTTCTCTCTGACTAAAGTAAAATTCATTTCTATTATTCTAATTTAAAAGTTACCTTTCGTTATTTTGATAAGAATTCTCTACGAAAATGTCGGTCAGCGTTCGCGACCGATACCTCCAATTCTATTCTTTCAACAAAAATTAAGGTCAGTCAGAGGCTCTGACCGACATCTGGTCCACACCCAGCGGCCTGTTTTGATATCATGTCTTTTCCTTTCTTTTTCCCCTTTTGTTATTATCTTTCCTTTCTTCCTTTTTCCTTTCTTTCTTTTTCCTTGCTTTAGGATCGTTTAGTACATTCTTAGTGAATTATTTTCAACCCAGTTATTTTCCGTTTTAAAGAAAAAAAAATTAACAACCTGTTTAATAAACTGAATAAGAAAAAATTAACTCATATTTCTATGAATATTTCCAATAAATGCAAGGTGCCATACACAGAAGGAATGGTTTCTGAGAAATCCTTGCTGACCAATATTTGACATATAGGTCGTGTCGTCTTAAAAACATTAAAAATAGCTATATCATGTTTCAAAAATTAAAAGATCAATTACAGATGAATAACCCGATTGTTTTTTATTATTATTCATATAATTTAAATTGTCAATTTTTTTTTGTTTTATTTAAATACATGTATCAAACAAAAGCCATCGCCATTTTATCGTCTGCATCAAGCAATCTGGTAATATGACTAAATGTGTCCGTCGTTTGATGTTGACAGTTTAATAAAATGTTACCATCCCCCGTTCTTTCGTTTATTTGATAATAATTTCGGCCTGCAGATATTTTTCTTTTTGACATTCAAGAAGACAAATCAATTTTATTTTTATTTTTTATTTTAGTTATGAGAAAATTTATTTATAAATACTGAGATTCATCTTTTTTCTTTTAAAATATATCAAATTTATATTTTATTTTACAATACTAGATATTTTGATACTTTTAAAATCTGTCGAAATCTAAAAAAAATGCGTAATACGACATAAGATTTTCATTTCAACAGCTTTGTTTGAACGTTTATTATTTCTTTGTCAGATTCAACAAGGAAAACAAAAGCAAGCATATTCCATATTCCTATCTCCCCTTTGGTGCCGGCCCACGAATCTGTTCCGGGATAAGATTAGCTCAGCTTGAATTTAAGATGGCTGTTGTAGAAATGATTCGTCATTTCCGGTTTGTTCCTTGTGAAAAGACCGAAGTAAGTTGCACAAAGAAAATATCTTCAAATTAAATGATTTGTAATATTTACGATGTTTTATTTTCTTTTTAAGGAAAATGTTGCTTTTCCTCTCCTTTCATTATTTTAATGAAAGGAAAGGAAAATGCACGTAATGATTGAAACACGCAAAATGACACAGATTCTATGATCTCGAAAGAAGATAAAAATGGCTCGGACCGACATCACCTTGGTTGGATATGTGATGACGTACCAACGTGGAATGGAAATTGAATAGATTTGAAGTGGGAGAAAAATGTAACAGCATTAGTACAATTCTGCTTAATAACTTTAAGGAATTAAAACCAATTAGCAATGTTGAGTTTGTAGGAAATTCAATCATTTTTTTTATATTAAAAACCAAACGCCCGAATTCCAAACAATAATAAAATAAAAATAATGAAAACATAGGTACGCCTGTAAATTAAATCATTTTGTATGAACAGGAATTCAAATGAGTTGACATGATTAAAAATAGTCTTTAGTCGCGTTAAAGTCTTTGGTTAGTTGGTACACAGAAAATCTGTAGTTTCGAAAACACTTTTATCGTTAGCGAATATTAACTGACTGTCTTTGTTGTTGTTGGAGTTGATTCGTCTGAAGTCGCAGGCTGACTATTGTTGTTGGGAATGGTTCGTTTAAAATCGCCGACTGACTCTGCCTATTGTTGTATATGATTCGTTTGAAGTCCGATTGACTTTGCCTGTTGTTATTGGAGATGATTCGTTTGAATTATATGCAGCAGAGAAACGATTTATTAGATGTTGGGCCTCCTCAAAGGATGTCGCTACAAGAGCTACACCAATTAGCAAACAACAAATCACGAATAGTTTGCGTACGAAGGTGGGTCTTGGCTTTGAAGCGCTGATGATTGAAGAAACCCCCAGTTGTTCGAAACTGAAACTTGACGCCACTCTCTGTGTCTTCAAATGCATATTTCAGCATCACCGAGAAGAAAAGGGCAAAAAGGACAGGGGCCATGACATAACCTTGCTTGGTGCCGTTTGTGATATCAAAGGATTCCGACTTCATACCATCAGACATGATATTAGCTTTCATTCCTTTATGAAAGGAGATGATGATCTTTAGCATGTTTTCAGGGATGCCGTGTTTTCTCAAGACTTGCCAAAGAGCCTCTCGATTCACAGTGTCAAAGGCCTTCGTCAAGTCCACAAATACCATGTACAACTCCTGATTTTTCTCGCGAACCTTCTCTGCAACTTGACGAAGAGAAAATATCATGTCAATGGTGCCACGACCCGACCGAAAACCAGACTGCGATTCAGGATAGATGTCGTCAAAAACGTGTATAATGATTCTATTTAGAATCAGTCTTGCTAAGATTTTTCCTGCAATTGAAAGTAGTGATATCCCCCGATAATTATCACAGACACACCTGGAACCCTTGTTTTTGTAAAGGTGTTTGATAGAGGCGTATTTATAATCCTGTGGGACACAGCCTGCCTTCCATATCTCTACGAAAAGAAGATGTAACTTTTTTACCAACTTTTGGCCACCATGCTTATACACTTCGGGTGGAATAGGATCCCTAGGACTAGGTGATTTGTCCAGATGAGATTTGCTTGATGGCGTCAATTACCTCTTGATAAGTAGGTTCAAAAGACAAGTCCGGAATTTCAGGATTTTGCTCAATTGATGTGATGGCTTCCTCATCAGTAACCGAAGTGGTGTTTAACACAGTTTCAAAATGCTCTTTCTTTCGATCTAAAATGTCTGACTTATCCGTCAAGAGAGTTTCACCATCTGCTGTGGAGATTGAAGCGACACCACTTTTCTGAGGACCGAAAATGCTCTTGAGGCCAGCATAGAAAGTCTTTAGATCCTTTCTATCTGAAGCTTCTTGGAGTTCAGTGGCCTGTTCAGACCACCAACGCTCTTTCATGGACCTGAGAGCTCGTTGAACCTGACTTTTGCACTTCTTGTAAATGATCTTCTTATCGGACGAGTTCTTGTCCTCAATCCATGCTTTATAAGAAGAGTGCAATTGATCTATAAGCTGCTGAACTTCTATATTATTGTCATTAAACCAGTCTTGATGTTTACGATGTGGCAGGCCGAGAACCTCCAAGGATGTAGAATATGTTGCATCACGCAGAGCCTTCCAAGATGATTCGATATCATTGGTAATATTTACAGAATCAAGTGCAGCATCAAGTTTGTCAGAGAGCTCAATTTTCGTTTCAGTCGATTTAAGAGGCAGTACGTTAATGCGCTTAGGCACCGTAGATTTTATAATCCTTCGCTTTTGCAAATGTAGTGTAGCTTTACTCTGAAGCAGAGCGTGATCTGACAGATAGCATGTTGTGTGGAATAAACGCGTTATCTTAAAATCTTTTATGTCCCGTCTTTTGGTGATGACGTAATCGATCAGATGCCAGTCTTTCGAACGAGGATGCATCCACGTGGTCTTACGACAGCTGGGTTGCTGGTAGAAGATATTTGTGATACTAAGGTCAAATTCCTTGCAGATAGTGAGAAGGCGTAATCCATTCGAATTCACACGACCAATAACATGGTGACCTAAAACGCCCTTCCAAGAATGATAATCATTGCCAACACGAGCATTGAAATCACCTGTAAAGACTAATTTATCCTTATGTTGAACTTTGGAGATGACATCCCGAAGAAGATTGTAAAAATCATCTTTTTCTTGATCTGAACTACCTAAGGTTGGCGCGTAGCAGCTAGCCATCGTCACACGGGTGTTGCACTCCAGATTGAGGGTTAATGCTATTATGCGATCAGATACACCTTTAGGTAAGGAAGGCAGTGAGCTAGCAAGGTCTGACTTGAAGGCAAAGCCAACACCAGATTGGTGTGGCTCTTTCTCCGTCTTGCCAGCCCATAAAAATACGCATCCATCTTTTCCTTCCCTAAGCTGAGAATTACCAGCCAGACGTGTTTCACTAATAGCCGCTATGTTGATACTATATTTCTTTAACTTGAGAGAAACAAGAGCTGTTTTACGCTCTGGTGCAGAATCATTGTCCTGGAGAGTGCGAACATTCCAGGATCCAAAATGGAAATTCTTCTTATATTTATTCTGATCTTTCTTGCTGTATCGACTGCTTTATTAGATAACTAGACAACTGCAGTGGGCTGCCAAGTCTGTGTGAGCAAGCAATATTTAGGTCTCCTTTTATCGACTCCTTCCCATAATAGGGAAAGCAGTGCAATCTTAAATGGGGCTGTTCTGTCACCGATGAAGGACAGAGATATTACAATTGCTCATGGATTTGTGAAAGAACGGCCATCACCCATCGGTCTGCCACTGTGTAGAACTCCAGACAGAGCCTTCCAGTAATAACCTTTACCTGACTCCGTCGCCTTCACTCTCACGCCAGCGGACCTTGCAAGTGAACTGTGTGGATAAGAATGAACGAATCAAGGTAAACCGCCAGAAAACCCGCAGAAGTGATTTGATTAAAGTGGTGAGGGCTTGTGCAGAACCATCCGATTTTCGGAACTATTGATACATTCAGTCGTTGCAAATAAATGCCACAGACGAAGCAGACAATATACCTCAGGCTTTTCGTGTAAGAATTTTCCATATCCTAAACCAATCGTGTTCTATAACACTAAAGACCTTGATCAGCCCTGGTAGACACCATTTGCCCATATCTGGGACCCTAACAGGTGCTACCACCCCGGTTCAGGGTGGACCTGGGTACAACAACAATTAAAAGGTGGTTCCACGCTCCTCAAATCCTCCAATCTCCCGATGAGAAGACTTGCTGCCGGATGTAGTTTATCGTCATACCCAGGTTTAATATATATATATATATACGTGTGTGTGTGTGTGTGTGTGTGTGTGTGTTAAACAATAAAAATATTAAAAAGTTAAAATTTTCAGACACACTGGGTTGTATATTAATATTTTTGTTTTATTATTTCTTCGACTAGTTTCGGTCAGCATGGCCATCCTCAGGAGAAAAAATCCCTGAGTGTTAGTAGAACTACAGGAGTATATGACTGTTTCTGAAGAAAGTGAACTTTATCTGTATTTTTCATTTGTATTTTTATTACTAAATTTGGTAAGTCCATGTGTTGGTCAAACGGCCTCTTTTAAGTTGTTTTTAAGATAAACGTTGTGAAGTCATACGACTCAGAATTCCCTTGGTCATTTTGACAGTTTTATAGGTTTCTGGGAATGGGATGTGTGTGTTATGTGTATAATGTCTTTTAGTTCTTTGGGGGTGTGTATGATGTGTGTAAGTGTCTATATTAGTATGGGCATGTGCATAAGTGTGAAACCTCAACACCTCTGCGAGCATGTCTGTCTTGTGTGGGTGAGAAATGTGGGTAGGGCTTGATTTGAGGGGTTATATAATAATCCTATCTATATTTGTTAAATTTGTGGTTAAGCCCGCCTGGACGGATCCATTTGTCTTCATGTTCCTCTAGAATTTTTCTAATGTTATTTTTTCTGTCTATTTCTATTTTTTTCATTTATAGTGAATTTTGCATGACTTTTAATATCATGTTTTCTAGGCGGAAATGCTGTTCGACAGGTAATAATCTTTGGTAAGGAGCCGACTTGATGCGATTAAGATAATTATTAATACTGTAGTGAAAGGGCCATTCAGATTTTCCCACATATTGTTTCTGGCATAGTGTGCATTTTAATAGTTAAATTATGTTATGACTTCTATAATTATAGTTTTTGTAGATTTTGAAAGTAGATTTAGTGACTGAGCTAGTGAATAAATTGGTGTGTCTAATGTGGTTACAGCATAAGCTCCTTTTGTTATTACATGGTTGGGAAGATACTGTTGTTTTTATTTTTGGTCTATTATGGATTAACTTATGTAAAATTTGGTTACTACCTATAATAATTTCCTATAATAATTTCCTATAATAATTTCCCTTAAAGTTCTTAGGTCTACAGTATGCTAGAAGGTCGGGTTCTTCAAACAAAATTTTTAGGTCTGGTTTGAGTTGTAGTTTTTTCAGCAACTTTT